TTATTATAAACAATCCCATTAATAACTTCATCACGTGCACATGTATCCGGCGATTGCCATTGTTTAACAAGTTCAATTGTCGGTAATAAACTAAATTCAATAATTGATGAACCCCAAACTTTCGTCGATAAAAATAATGATGTATCAGATGTTGTACATGATAACCATTTACGCTTTTGAAGCGTTTGAACATTTTCAATTGACATATTTGTTTCATCAACAAGAAAAACATCACTACCATTTATAACAATAAAACGATTTAATGTTGATGACCAACATATATCATATATAGTTCCATATATCCAAGAATTTTGTTTAACAATATTTAATTCTTGATCAACTAAACATAAATTTGGTTCTTGATGTATTAATAAATAACGATTATTACATGCTAATGGTGCCCAATTTTCTCTTGGATAATTTATTGTTTTATAAACAGGTGGTAATGATGTTAAATCAAAACGATTTATATCTGTATTTTCAATATGTATCAAACTATCATCCAAAACTAATGATTTGATTTCCACTTGAAATGATGTTTGTTCAATTTTTTCAATTTCACGTTCAAGATCACGTACAGTTACTGTTAATGAATCAATATCTTTATGTGTTGCTTCTTGTTCATTGATTAATTCCGACATTTTTGTACGCATTCGACTTATTTCAGCACGTTGTTTTTCCATTCGTTTTGCAATACATCGATCAAGTTCAAGACATTTTTGTTCGAAAAAAGTATCAATTGTTTTATGACAATCATAGCGCCATTGTTCAAGTTTCTTATGTGAAATACCAATAGCATTTTCAAGATTAATAGATTTTAAACGTTCACCAAGTGCATTAATCTCATCCGATAATGGATTTAATTGTGAATTAAGTGATAAATCATGTTCAACCATATGCTCACGACAAAAATTTTGATTACATCCATAACATAAAGCTCGTGATACGCGTTTACATGTTGAAATCGCGCATGGTTGAGACATTTGTTGATTATAATCACTGTTACTCTTTCTTTTTTTATGCAACAAAATTTCAAAAAGAAGAAGCAAGAAAAAAGACGAAATAATATTCTTAATAATTAACAAACAAATGCAATTGTTTGTTTACATAAAATGCAAACGGTTGCTCGACGCTCTTAAGTGATCAGAACGAATATATGAAGCAATGACGAATTTTGTTTAAAAATATTTTCAATGTTTTTGTCTGAAAAAAGAAATGAAAAAAAAATGAAATGGGTGGAGAGGAGAAAATGAAAAAAAATCACTCAAGAGTAAAGAAAAATATTATCTTCCGAATGTCGACCGTACCAGATATATGAATCATTTAATCATGCAAATGAATATTCTTATAAATATTTATTTTGCCTTCAAAAATTCATTAAAAATAGTTCTGATCTAAAATCTCATAGTTTTTAGTTGAAGTCATGAACTATTTTATCCGTACTTATAAAAATGTGATGTTTTTGTTTTGAGTAAAATAGGTCGAAATGTTTGATTTAATTCATTCCGAATAAATAGAACATCAATTTCTATTGTATTATTTGATGTGTGTATACATTCAAGTTTTATTTGAATGAGATTGTATAAACAAAATCGAAGACATGTTCCTACTTTTTTATATCTCTCTATATTTACAGAAATCACTGATTTCATCTATTTTTTGTTTAAAAGACGAATTATGATTCAGTATATCTACAAATAACAGACTCGCTAAATGTGATATGTTAATTATTAACAACATATGGAAGAAATCTGATAGAACGATAAATACAGAGAGTTTTTGTAAGTAAACAAATCATTTTCTCAATGGTTCTATACAAAATGACTATTACATTTTGTATAGTTAAATGATTCTTGCTCTTGAACAGTTTATTTTAACTTTAGGTTATGATGACCGTGCGCTGAATGTGTTAATATCGATACTTGGTTATATTTACCATTTATTATTATGATTGTATTTGATAATGGTGTAATCTATCATTTGATTGATGTTCGTCGTACAAGTACAATGCACAATTTATGTTCGAGACATTTATCGATATCAATTACATGGCTGCTTACTACATTTCTCTTTTTCATTATGAATATATCGGATGGTATTATTTATATATATTTTTAATAGCCCATCAAGATCAATTCTTTTATAAGTTAAAGATTGGAACTATATCTACTTAATTAAGAATCTATAGAAGTCTTTTTCTCTTAAATATATCGAAAAAAATGTCCTTGAAAATTAACTATTAAGAAAATAACCTAGTTTTTTTTCAATGTGAATTATATTTCAAAGTATCATAGTTTCTGGAAGAGTAGAAATTTCTATAATTACATTAGATTTAAAGAATTATGTTGATTTATATATAAACGAAAAGACGTCATGATATATGATCTTTATGTTTCTGATCCTTGTTGAAATATGACAGCTTCATTATCAGATACCTTCTCTATGTTAATTACTACATATGTCGTATCAGTTAAGATAAAATTGTATGGAAATCAACAAGTCTTAACGAACCTAACTGTAGGTAGGAGTGATATTGAGTTCGTAGATAATTTTAGAACAGAAGTTTCAGTACAAGTTTTCTTGATAATTAGTCTTTAAGAGACTAGGATTGTTTAAGTATATTATATAATCATATAGAGCGATGATATAATTGCATAGTATAAAAATCAGACCGATTTCTAATGGAAAACGAGCTCATAGGTAGAGATCTATCGGATTGAAATCACCAGAAAATGATTTTATATGGCAAATTTTCTGAATTCAACGCATTGAATATCTGACAATATCTTTTCTAGGTCAACAGTAAGACATGAAATTACAAGCATCATGAAGAGTACAAAAAGAATTTAATCCCTTGCATGTCTATTAATACGTTACCTATTTCACACTACTAAAATCCTTCAAACATATTCTAATTTGATGATGTTATTGTTGTTCGAAAAACACCTGTCTTATAATATCCATACATATATAATAGTTATTTTTAACCTTTATCATTTATGACAGGCTCTATTACGTATAACCATTCTCTTCTTCCTCTAGTCAATTATAGTTTTATACCGTCAAATAACTCAGAATCAATAGAAACCGATGAAAAAATACATATTTATCTTTTGAATTTTAATCTATTATCGATAAATATAAAAGAAAACAAGCACCATATATTCGACAAAAGAAATATACATTGAGTAATATAGTATTAAATATGTTCATTTTCTTCATTCAATGTTGTTGCATTTGTTTCTGAATTTTCTGATGCAATCGCTGTATTTGGAGCAAGAATTTTACGTAATAATTCATCTCGAAGACATCCTTGAATGAATTCATCTCGAATAACAATATCTATACATATAAGAAAAAGTTGTATAATTAGAAAAAGATAGATAAAATCATTAAACCATCTTTATCTTTATTTAATCGTTGCATAATTAGATCAACACGTTTATCTGGTGATTTTTCACCAGTACGATCTTCTTCATTAGCTAAATCATACATTGCTTCAATTATTTGTATCATATCCTTTCGATTAATTTGTCCATCTTTATTCTGATCTAAAAAAAACGTTTCCTTTTTCTTCTATTCACATATATAAACTAATAATTTACCATAAATATCAAAAGCCATTTTTAATTTCTCTTCAAGATTTCCATGTTGTGATACACCCACAGCTAATCTTAAAAGTCGCGAAAAATTCTTAGAATATTAAAAAAAATATTTTTACTTACAAAAATTCTGTAAAATCAATCCAATTATTATTGTCTGTATCGAATGCTTTAAATACAAAATTACAATATGTATCCGCTTTACCTTCTGGATAAAATCTCTATATAATACATAAAAAGAATATTTAATTTAGTTTTTAATTAGCTAAATTAAATCTATATAATATATACTCTGTACACAGCAAGGAATTGTTTTTTATCAAGTTTACCCATCGGACAATCTTTAAGAAAACCAGAATGCCATGCTTGAATTTCTTCTTCTGTATAATGTGTATTAGCTTTTAATATGTTCAAATCCTCAGCCGATAATGTAATTGAATTTTTTTTTCCTTTACCACTTGCTTTATTTCCCATAATATTAAAATATTTTGATTAATCAGACTCTTAAATAAATACTAAAAAATAAATCAATTAATATATACATAATGAAATCTTGTCTGTTCAATATGTTAATATGTTAGATTGTATACAAACCGTATCTACTAATAATGATGAACATGCAACAAAAATGTAGTTGTAACATGTCTGTTGTATATTACTTAGGAGAAAAAAAGGAAAGCGAAACCAGAAAAGAAACATATATATATATATATACGGAAAGAAGAAGAAAGAGAAACAACACGAATAACTAGAAGAGAAATATTGAAACGTTATCCACGTATATAATATGAAAATAGTTATGTACTATATCGACAAAAACCGGTGGTTTGGTATGCTAACATGTACTATGTTATTCATATTTTTTGCTCTTTTGGATTTTCCTTTTCCTTCAAGACCAATAATTATGATAAACATACCTTGAAGCAGAATAAAATGGAACAAAAAAAGTATCATATATCATTCTTCATCTATATAGAACGCTAATCATACAGAAACCAAAAACAGACATACATATATATATACATAGTGTTATTACCAGAAATTGAAGGACAAAAAGAATAAGTTGGCTCTACACTTCCTACAAAATAATCCAATATGATAATGCGCATAATATTTTTCTCTGTTGAGACTTTTCTTGTATATAAGAAGTTTGTTTATTTGATTAAAGACAACATCATCCCATCATCAACGGTTGTCCGATCGTTATTATAACAGCCGTATGCTTCCATGCATGCATGCATATGTCGGAACATAGTCGTAAAACAATCTGATTGACAGTAAGAATGATTGCTTAAAGTTATAAATGACAATGTGAATCATCTATCCATAGAAATATAGTAACATATGACTATAAGGATATTTAGATCTGTCATATGAAGAAATCTTAATTAATAATTATTAAAATATTCAATTGAATAAAAATTTAATCGAGATATTTTAATTATTCTATAAAAACGAATACTTTCCAATTTAGGAACTATCTGTAATATATGAGTATGAAAATAATGAAGAATTTCTATTGACAAATATGATATACACTAAAGAAGAATGTGTCATAAATAACTAGTTAAGAGCGATTAGAATTCAAGTCATGATTTTTGATACATTTATTTAAAAATCCTCTAGATATAATTCTCACGAACGTTGTCAAAGGAGAATCTTCAAATGATTAAAATTTTGATGTTGAAGTTGAGATTTGATTATAATATTTCATTACAAAGTTATAAATACTCTAAGTGTATTACATCACATTTTCTATTTGAAAAAGTATTCAAGCGAGTATAAATGATATTAGTTGACATGTAATGTAATCATGCTCAATACATACTCCATTCGCAATAGTTCTTATATGAATTAATACATAATTAAATGTTCTTTCTAATCAAAACAATTTGAACTTACAATATTTCGAAAAACTCGTCTCTCTTTTGCTACATTGAATTACTAACGAATTGTCGATGAATTGCTAGATGTTCATTTTTTATTGCGTATACGCCTTCAACCATTGATAACATTGTTCTATTTTGCTATATTTTCCTTATGATACGATGTCTGAGGTCAAAAAGCTTTAACTTATGGCAAAATGTTATAATGTATTGAAATACTCAATTTAGATATTAAGACATGCAAAGTCCATTCATAATTGATTATTGTCGTCGGATATATATATCAATGTTAAATTCTCATGATACTAATGATATTCTTTTAACTTCTAGATCAAGTACTAATTATCAGTATATAAATAGATATTAGACAGATAAATTTCTAGCTTTTATATTCTCCATCAAGGAGAAAGTTGTTTAGCGATAAAATCGATTCCTTCTTACAATTGAAATTTTCATTTTCTAAATTGTTTATTATCATTCAAATGACATCATTAGATATTATTGTGGCTGCATACAGCTTAGTCTTCGAATATTAGTCACTTCATTGAAGCACGCAATGCATCTAAATGCTAGAAATACACTATTTTTGAAAGGAGATTAATTTTATTGATTAACGGCCCTCCTCGTTAGTAATATAAATATAACTATACAAAGAGTCGATGAGTAAGTCTCAATGTTCTGATTTAAATTGAATTAGTTATACCTTATAATCATTGAGGGAATAAATAGAAAATGTTAAATAATCTACCAATGATTTTATGCAGTATGAAGTGATCGCGAAGTTATTTATTATTTTTTAGTCAAATAATGCAAACAAAGTAAGTTTATTTATATTTATAAACAGAAACTCTCAATATTTTTGGATCGTTTATATAAATATTGATTATTCTACATGTCAATTTATTTAAAATATTGATCATGTATCGTTTACGTCATAGCGTTAAATATATAATCGAAAATTAATATTTACAAAATATTTTTAATGCTCGTACTAATTATTTTAGAGCAAAGTATCGTTTGGAATATTGTAAAACATGGACGTATCATTTGATTGGTTCCTAATCTTCTAATCAAATGCGTGTATGATTTGAATTCACATATGTTCGATTTATTTATTTCGAAAACTGATTTTTTCTAATGTATTATTCAACTACATTTTTTGGATTAATTTTTAAGATAAAACATTAATCAAAACATCATCTTTGATATATAGTTTGAATTATCAGTATTAAATAGTAAAATTTGTTTTTACAAAGAAATTATAGACGAATTTTTGATCGTTGAGTATTTCCTTTTTTGTCCTACGTGAGAAATAAAGATCTTGAGATGAACCTTTAGTTTACTTAAAAGAACTAAAACTACAAAATTTTAATTGAGATGTTATTAAACTAGTTTTTTTTCATCTGTAGTGAACATGATCGATTAGTACTAGTCTTAATCAATATAACAATAATTGAAAATTAAAGAGGAAACTTCAAATTTTCATTATCGCGAATATAAAAATATATGAAGAAATATCAATTAATTATTTTTGTTTTAGCATGTCACAATTATATTCAAATCGTCAATTAATATTTTCTGATGATAATAATGATAAAGAATCAATTTCCGTTATTATATTAGAGGTGTTTTAATTAAAAATGAATAAACAATATTTGTTTATTCTATTTTAATTAGACATTTGATACATCTTCATCATATGGCCTTTATCTATGGCCATGTTCACCTATACTCGCTCAATTTATATGGTACAATCGAAATGATTTTATCGGTAAAAATATCTTAGAGGTATTAAAAATATACAAATATTTTTTCTAATTTATTATGAAATAATTCTATTGTTATATTTTTATAAAGATTGGTGCAGGAACATCATTACCTGGCTTAGTTGCAGCTAAAATTGGTGCTCAAAATGTTGTATTATGTGATAATCCAAAAATAGATCAATGGTTATCATTAATAAATGAAACACTAAAAATGAATAGTATGATAGCTGATCGTATTCGTATTGAATCGTTGAATTGGTATGATGAAAAAAGTATTGATACACTTATTAAAAAATATTTTCCTTCCAATATTGATATTATAATTGGTTCAGATATTTTCTTTCATAAAAAAGGTAAAAAAATTAAAATTATATTCGTATATTAACGAAACAAAAAAAATATTTCCTATAGATTTTGAAACAATTATTGCATTACTTGATAAATTATTTCTTAATGAAAATGCATCTATAAAATTTATTGGTACTATAGAACGACGAAGGTAGAATATATATATATATAAAACTTTGAATCTTATGATTAATTCTTGTATAATTATTCATATAGTCGAAGTACAATGTTAAAACTGAATCATCTTATCGGTATATGGAATATGAAATTGGAAATAATCCCACTTAGCTATTTCAATGGCGAAACAATTTATCCAAATATTGTAGCCGGACATGACATTCTTCTTTTTTTTATTATGAAAGATAACATAAAAGAATGAGATTATCATCACGTAATATGTATCTGTTTTTTTTTTTCGAAAAATGTTTACATAACAATAATTTGAAAGTATGTCTGTTTGACAAACAAATAAAACAAAGGGGATAGAGTAAATTCTATGCATGCTATAGAAAGAACGTTGAAGGCGGACAAGGAGAGAGAGAGAGACAGGAAAAAGAAAAACGAGGAAGACTAGAAGCTATTGCGGGACGGACGTAATGTAAAAGAACAAGAGAAACGTATGGTTCGATGTTGAGAATCGATACCGATTGGTTGTATTTGTCATAACAAAAAAAGCGAAGAATGAGTGCGTAGTGCGCATTGCTGATAATGAGACCATAATGTATAAAAAAAACATACGAAACGCTTTTTTCCTACATAAAAATACTTCATATTATTCATATATATATATGGCTGATGTTTGTTAATATATATTATCTTGACAATTTGACGTCATTAACACCCTTCTATCAATATACATAAACGTTCCAAGTCTATTTAAATTATTAAAGTTCAATATGTTCCAAATCTTATTTGTATTATTTCTTTGTTCAATACCAAATATTAATTCAAAATGTATTTGGTATGAAGGTATACGAGATAGTTACAATGAAATATATTTAAATGGTGAACCAAAACCTTTACCAGCAAATGATACTTATCTTTTGAATGAAATGTGTCCTCATATAGCAACACCAAATGGTAATTTTTTTCTTTTTTATTTAATAGATTTTCTTCAACTTTTCTTTATTTTTAGGAATTTCACCTAATTTATGTTGTGATCGTAAACAATTAGCTGAAATGCAAAAATTTAAGTATATGCTTGATAATATTATTGGTCGTTGTCCATCCTGTTATTATAATCTTTTACGAATCTTATGTGAAATGTCTTGTAGTCCTAATCAAGATCAGTTTATATGGCCATTGGAAACATTAAATATAACACGGCCTAATGAAAATGAAAAAGTGATATCAGATGATAAAATACGATCAGAATGGGCTTTAGCAGATTATGAAGATCCAGATGAAGAAGTAGATGAACAAGAAGAAAATGTAAAAAAATTACCATCAAAACCAATTGAAACAGTACATGTTGTTAGTAAAATTCGATATTTTTTATCAGAAAAACAAGCACAAGATTTTATTGATTCATGCTGGTAAATTTCTTAGATATATTTCTTATTTAAATTCTAATTTCTTTTTTCATTTTAAAGGAGTGTTCGAATCAATTTTCAATATGCTATTGATATTCTTTGTGGTTCAATAAATCGTGGATGTGATGTTAAAAAGCTTTTTCAATATATTGGCTTAAAAAATACTCAATCACCAATGAAAATTGAATTTATTTTTACGAATGATACTTATTATGATCAAGAATTTCAACGAACATTTCAACCATCGAATGCAACGATGTTTGCTTGTGATCAACCTGTTATTTTACCACATGTTTCAAGACAAAAGTGTACTTGTATGGTATGTGTAAATCTGTTAGCCTTTAATTTGAATTAGTTAAGCATGTATTTTGTAATATAATGCAAAAAAGTTAATGCCTCGATCGTTTGATTAACAGCAGATGCTGTTAAAACTTATTCCTAAGAATTAATTAGTAAATTTAACAAACAATCATGGTTCGTATAATTCAGATTGTTTCATTTTAATGTTAGAGAATTCGAGAAAAAAAAAGTTGTCATTTTTTTACATTAAGATAGTATCTAGTATATTGATAATTTAGAACAAATTAGTTTTTCGTTCTCGAAATAAATTTTTTTACAAAAAAACAAACGTAGTAACATTTATCATGACATATGAAATATAAACTAATAGAAATATTTTTTATTACTTTTATAAAAAATGAGTAATGTAGTTAAAAGGTAATTGCGAACAAAAAAATAAATGTTATCAAATGAATTTGAAATTACAAAAGCATACATATCTAAAAATAGAATATATCATTATGACTCATAGAAACACAGCCCAATATTTTTTATGAATCATAATTAGCTGGAAAGTGTATTCGATTTTTTTTACTGATTATGAACTATATCAATAAATTGCGTGTGAAGGATGTTTGTCATGAACAATTCAATGACAAAAATCTATTTCTTTAGCTATTTGATTAAATAGCAGTTTAAAAGAAATTCCTTCGTCTATCAATTCTGTATAGTAATTTCCTAACGATCGAATGTGTGGTATTAAATAAAAGCATGTTTGTTTTTATTGACTGGACGATTTAAAAATCTAATATTTTTTTTCTAGGATTGTAATGCAATGTGTCCAAAAGCAACTAATAATACAAAAACAAAAACGATAATTACATCAGATAGTTCATTTTTGATAAAATTAAAATCGAAAATTAGTGAATTACATCGTATAACAATTGCTGCTATTATTTTATATATAATATTTGTTATTATTTTTATTATTACTAATGTACTTATGTGTATATGGAATGTAAAAATTAATCGAGAAAAATATTTTCTTGCAAGTATGAATTAATTTATCCGTTTTTTTCAATTGCTAATTGATTTATTCCTAGATCAACATAATAGAAGCTCAATTGAAAATGAAGAAGAAATGAAACATTTAAATAAAAATCATCATCATCATGTACCTTTACCAATACAAGATGAAGAAGAATCCGAAGCATCATTTAATGATAATCATAATGGTTTATTAGATAGATTAGGTGTTAAAATTGATGATAATCTTCATAAAATATTTTCATCGTATGTACACTTCTATTTCCTTATAATGAAATATTTTAAATACATAAATAAATTTCTTTAGTATTGGTCGATTTTGTGCTTATAATCCATTTTATACAATTGTACCAGTTTTTGCAATTTTATTTGTTTTATGTTATGGTAGTCGTTATTATACTGTAACTACAGATCCAGTTGATCTTTGGGTATCACCAAATTCTCGTGCACGACAAGAAAAAGCTTATTTTGATGAAAAATTTGGGTAATTTAATTATTGATTTTATCTTTTTCATAATTATATTTTTCATTTAGACCATTTTATCGTATTGCTCATTTAATTCTTGTACCAAAAAATAAGAATAATATTGTTCTTCGATATAAAACTCCATTAGAAGCTGAAGAAAAACATACATTTGGACCTGTATTTGAACGAAATTTTCTTCTTGATGCTTTACGTTTACAATTATTTATTGAAAATTTTAATGTAACTAAAAAATCTGGTGAAAATATCTATTTAAATAGTACTTGTTTTAAACCACTTGAACCTGATAATAATCATTGTGCTATTTTTTCATTATTTCAATATCATCAAAATAATTTAACCTTTCTTTTAAATGAATCATTATATTCATCACAATATCTTGAATGTATGCAATCACCATTAACACAAGAAACAAAATCATTTCAACGTACATGTATGGCACAATTTGGTGGTCCAGTTGATCCCTATATGGTACTTGGCGCTTTTTCAACACATGATAATGTACCGGATTATACCAAAGCTCAAGCACTTATTATAACAATAACAATAAATAATAAACGTCATGGTGAACAACTTGAAAATGCACTTTTATGGGAAAAATATTTTTTACAATATATGAAAACTTATAAATCAAAATGGTTTGATGTTAGTTATCGTGCTGAACGATCTATTGAAGATGAAATTGAACGTGAATCAAAATCTGATATAAAAACAGTTCTGATATCATATATGATTATGTTTCTTTATATTGCAATTGCATTAGGACGAATAAGAAATTTAAGACATGTTCTAGTTGATATGAAAGTTTCATTGGGTATTGCTGGTGTTGTACTTGTTGCACTTAGTGTTTGGGCTAGTGTTGGAATATTTTCTTATATGCGTATACCAACAACATTAATTATATTTGAAGTTATACCATTTTTGGTATTAGCTGTTGGAGTTGGTAAGTTACATCCGAGTTTTTTCTTTATCAAAAATGAGATTCATACTATAGAAGAAAAGAAAGAATACATTTATATGAAATGTACATATCAAGGCTAAATCTCTAGGTCATAATTACTTTTTGATTTCAGTGATCCTATAAACATGTGTGTGATCTATCGATAGATTTTTGATTACTAGTAATAGAAGTCAACCAGTATACGCTAAGATAAAGAGTAAAACTCTAGGTTTTAGTATATGCTTGATTAATATTCAGCTCATAAATAATCATTTTTAACATATATCTTTGAAATGTTATGCATATCAATTACTGATACGAATTTTTCTTGATGAATCATACAATCGTTCCATCCCTCCTTATTATCTTATATGAAAATAGATAGAGTATTAAGTTTCAATAACTAATTATTATTATTTTATTTTGTCAACAGATAATATTTTTATCTTAACTCAAACAATTCAACGTGATCGTCGTTTACCAGATGAAGATGTTGAAAGTCAAATAAGTCGTATAGTTGGTCGTGTTGGTCCAGCTATGTTATTAACATCTTTATCTGAAAGTATTGCATTTTTTCTTGGTGCATTAACACCTATGCCTGCTGTACGATTATTCAGTTTATATGCTGGAATGTCTGTCTTAATTGATTTTCTTTTACAAATTACAATATTTGTTTCATTGATAACACTTGATCAAAAACGTACACTAGATAAACGTTTTGATGTATTTTGTTGTTGTCAAGTACCAAAAAAGAAACGAAATGATGAAAATAAATCTGTTGATGAAAATACAGATCCAGTTCAAACACCATTAACAACAGAAATTGAATCAAATGAAGAAAATTTTACTGAAACTGAAGGATTTTTATTTCATATATTTAAACAATATTATGCACCATTTATAATGAGTGATTATATTCGACCTTTAGTTATATTTGTTTTTTTTACTTGGCTTGCAACAAGTATTGCTTTAATACCGTATGTTAAAATTGGTTTAGAACAAAATATAGCTATGCCAAAAGATTCCTATATGATTGATTATTTTTCTTCATTGAAACAATATTTTGCTGTTGGACCACCCGTTTATTTTATTATTAAACCAGGTAAAAGAAATTAAAATTAATTTTTTCTATCCCCTATTGAATATTTTAAAGGTATTAATTATGGTCATATAAATGCAAGTAATATGATATGTTCAAGTGCTGGTTGTTCATCTGAATCAATTGCAAATCAATTAGGTATCGCATCACTTTATCCAACAGAAACTCGATTAGCACAAATTGGTACAACATGGCTTGATGATTATTATGATTGGTTACGTCATCGTGGTTCAACACCATGTTGTCGTTTATATAAAGAAACAAATGAGTTTTGTTCAACAAAATCTTCGTCATCTGCTGATTGTCATGTTTGTACACATAGTACAACACGTGAAGATTTAACAGAAAATGAGTTCAAACAATATTTACCATTTTTCTTAAAAGATAATCCAAATTTAAAATGTGCTAAAGGTGGTCATGCAGCACATGGTAGTAGTGTTAAATTATATGATGTTAATAGTACAGTTGAAACAAGTCTTATTATGGGTTATCATAGTCTTTTAATAAATTCAAATGATTTTATTGATGCTATGCAACAAGCATATAGTTTAACGGATAATATAACAAAAACATTAAAAAATAATGGTTATGATATTGAAGTATTTCCATATAGGTAAATAAATAATATTTAGAAAAAAAGAAAAAAATTCTGAAATATTTCTTTTTTTTAGTATTTTTTATGTTTTTTATGAACAATATTTAACAATTTGGCATGATGCTTTTATGAATTTAGCTATATCGGCAACAGCAATTTTTATTGTAACATTTATTTTACTTGGACTTGATATTATTTCAGCATTTATAATAACATTAACAATAACAATGTAAGATTTATTATTTTTTCGAATTAAGATAATCGTAAATTTATTTCTTCTAGGATTACTTGTGATATGATTGGTATGATGTATTTATGGAATATTGAATTAAATGCTGTATCACTTGTTAATCTTGTTATGTCAGTTGGTATATCACTTGAATTTTGTGCACATATATGTCGTGATTTTGTTTTATCATCTCAACGATCACGTTTAAGACGTGCTGAACATGCACTTGCTGATATGGGTAGTTCGGTAATTTATTAAATTTTATCTGACCAAAAAAACAATAGACTTGTTAATGATTCTTTATAGGTATTTAGTGGTATAACTTTAACAAAAATTGGTGGAATTGTTGTACTTGGATTTTCTCATTCGCAATTATTTCATATATTTTATTTTCGAATGTTTATTTGCATCGTATCATTCGGTGCTGCACATGGTTTAATCTTTTTACCAGTTTTATTGAGTTATATTGGTAAATAGATTAATTTGTTGTTTCAAAAATTAAATGTAACCTTCTTCTTTTGAATTTCAGGTCCAAGTCCAAATCGTAATCGTCGATCAACAAGGGAATCGATACAATTGCAAAAACAATTGTCTTTAAATGTAACATCTTAAAAAAGAAACTCATTAGTCTTATATGCATTTGTACATTGCACAATGAATATTTCATTTAAAAAAGAAAATCTCCCAAACAATGTTATTTATGTAAACTTTACCGTCCGTTATATATATATATATGTATACATCATTCAGCTGATAAATTTTGCTTTTGTATATCAAAATATTTGCTTTATATATATATATATATATAATTATATGCGTATTCTGTCACCATCCAATAATGTCTATGTCAAAAGACAAGTCAGATGATGAGATTTTCTTGTTTTTCTTCAATTCCACTTGATCTGTTTTTCAATACCTTTAGTCTATTTATATATTTTTCTTTGTATTCTTGTGCCTCTTTGGTTGTTATTTATTAAATATATTTTGTTTCGGCATAATAAAGAAATCTGTAAACATACTCTATAAAATAATATTTTCCTATAAAAGATGATAGATCAAATTAATCAATGCTCATATTAATAAAGATCTTTCTCAAAACTTTTGATTAGTTTCATTTTCATTTTGCCAAAAGAATATGGTATATAACTGAAAGATTTTGAATGACGAACCGGTGTTCTCACACACTACAATAAAAAAAGTTCCCACTGCCCACATTCCCTTTATTTTTTTTCTTTCTCTCCTTATATGGAGAGTCTAAAATCGCGAGAAAAAGACAATACAAACGGGATAAATAAATGAATAAAAGCAGTGAATAAGGATGAGTTCCATTGAAAATGTACTCGAATATGTGCTCTTCCTCTATATTATCCGAATAGCTCATATAGAGAAGAGATAAGAAAAGAAATAATCAATTTGAATACGATTGTCAGACCATCATAAAAACCCAAAATAGCGATGATAGCAATAATCAAGTTATTTTATTCGATAGGTGTGACATTGGGCGAACAACCTTCGATGGACAATTGTCCAACGATCGAGACAACAATGTCATTTAGAGAAAAATGAGTTTCATTCATATTCAGCGAAGTGGCCATGGTGTGAGACTTGTTCATATATGTACTGAAAAGATCGAAATTCATCCTTCATCGCCGCAGTACTTTGCTTCCAGATAAGTTGTCGCGCGCTGAGACCAATTGTGCGAAACTAGAATCCGATTTGTCGAAGACATATAAAGGTCGATTGGTAACATGACTATATTCCGCAAAGCTTCACTTGAATATTTTGTTTTGATCTTTATTACCATTAACAATAATAATAGGATGCTGCTGTCCGATAACATTGCGATGTTTTTCGACCAAATCTTGTTTCAAATTGTGTCCAGCATTTAGTTCAACTATATTTCTTTATGCAGGTAAATTGAGAAAAAGAACAACAGCTGCTACTTTTGAAAAACACTTTACGATGCTTTCATAGGTAACGAAAGAATTTTTTCTTTGTAAAATGAATTCAATCTTTTTTCATACTACAAAGAAAAATTCATTTTTCACCTGAAAATGGAATACAGCAAGAGAAACAAATGAAACTTGAAGGTGACTGTGAATAAAGCATTATGATATACCCACACTCACACCCTTTTTTGTTGATTTATTAAAAAAAACCTTGATAAGTTGAAAGAACAGAATCACATTTATAAGGGTATTACATAAAAATTTGTTCTGTAATAAAATAAAGTTCAATGTTGCCAACAGAAAAAAACTGAATACGAAAAAATAGCGAGAGTAAAATTAGTTCAACGAAAATGAGCTGAGAAAGCAAATTAGAAAAAGACACAGAAAAGAAGAAATTATCGAACTTTCTGCCATTTTGATACACGTTAGAAATAATATTTTAATTAAGACGCTGTATGAAAAGAAGTAGAAGATCATTTTGTTACAACTATCGAAGCACGTTGTATATGGCTTGTAAAATGGCTCCTTATCGACTTCAATGCATATCGCCTTTCAATCTGTCTAGCAACAGACCCAAACGTTTTCCGTTATCATAGGCATCCATTTCCTCAAAGTATGCACGTGCACTCTCAAACAGCCATTCAATCGATGACTTTTCAGTATTATCTAGCTCAATTGGTTTATCAAACCAAACTTGCCAACGCTGGTATTTTTCCTCTAAAAGGGACGCCATCTGAACATCAATATTATGCTGAGGGCCGTCAAGAATCATATTGAGTATTTCTTTACGATGGCTTAAATAAAACAACAAGTGTCGGCTTGCGCCTGGATGTAAAGGATCGGGAACAAAGTCACCAGTCCCTAATGAAAGCATAAAGATATTTTTACTGTCGATTCCATAGCGAATACATTCTTTATACGCAGCAGCCGCTGGATTATTCATTTGAACTCCACCATCTACAAAATATGAGTCACCAAGCACATATGGTTTGAAATAGGTTGGAGCTGCTGTAGTACACATTAAAACTTCATGTAGAAAACGATCACGATGAGTATTATCACGACTGTCGCGTCTGTTAAAAAGATATGTTTCTCTACTATCGCTCTTAACAGCTGGAATTACTAATTCTGTCAGCACATGAGAGAGACGAATGTTTCCAAAATAGCCAGAAAATAAATCCTGCCGTCCACTATCAGTATACTTTACATCTTGTGAAACCCGATTCCAATAGTTAGATACCCAACTTTGCCTTCGTTGAAAAATTTCGTTCGAACGAGATGCATACAGTTTAACAATATCAACTGCTTTGTATCGCGGTTCTGTTGGATTCTCATCATTCGGTGCGCACAAACCTGCGGCTACAATTGCTCCAGTAGAAACTCCAGCTATCATATGGAAGAGCGATGCTATAGAGCGCTTTGTACGGCGTTCAAGTTCAGCTAGCCACAGGGCTGGCATGATTCCTCTAATGCCACCGCCATCAATCGCCAAAACATTATAATCGGAAGAACTATTAATCGATATTGCCTTGTGGCTAAGCGTCATATTGCTGTATAATTCTAAACGCTCTGATATCTTTTGTAGTTGTAGTGCATTAATAATCTTTAATTCATTACCTGCGTCGCTATTGCTCGGATCATTCTCAAGCGCTTTCTGTACAAAATAATTTGCTTTGTCATACAGATGAAGCCTACGTTTTGTTAAAGCTAGTAAATACCAGCCTTCAGCTGAATCTGAATGTTTAGTGAGTGTTCTGCGAAGAAATTTTTCCGCTCTCTCCAATTTACTTAACATACAAAGACTTCTTCCAAAACCTAGCGATGCGTCTAAATTATTTGAATCCAGTTCAAGAATTTTAGTATAACTTTTTTTAGCTTCATGCCAATGTGTCAGTGCCTGTAAACGATGTATCTTTTCAAAATATTCAGCATTTAAGCGGTGATGGGTTGCTATTCGCTGAAGAATTTCAATTTTTTTCTGGTTCGTACCAGTAATATCTAGCTCATTATGCAAACTATTTATGTTTAAATCGATAGTTTTAATCACGCCGATTATATCAGTATTATTCTTGGCCAGTACAACGAAAACAGCTGACTGAACTGGTGGATTTGTGTGAGGAAAGTCTTGCGCAACAAACAAACGTCCATTAGTAGGATGTATTACCATAGAACTAGAATAAATCTTCATATTAAATATTTCCGACAGAAACGGTATGTGTGCCGTTTTTGAGATCCAGTTTTCTTCGAGAAAATAACACATTCTCCAATCTTTCAGATTTCGTACTCCATCGGCTTTCAAAAGTCGAATGGCATTTGTTTTAAAGTTTTCGTCTTCATTTCTTTTTTCTAACAACTCTTGAACCTTTTGAATAAACTCTTCTTGTGACACAACAGTTGTGTAATTGCTTAGCGCAGCTAAAAGTTTTAACAGCTGTGAGATGTTAGAAACTGTATTAACACTTTCACACTTTATGATCGTACTATTAACTACAACTTTTCGAATGTTTTCGAACACGGCGTTGTCCTCTAATGCTAAGATATCCTTATCAACTAATGGTTTAGGAATTAGACCAAATGCTAATAATAAATCATCTATTACTTGAATCAAAGTATTCGATATCATAAAGAATTGATTGTGTGCTGTTAGTGCTTGTTGACGTTTTACTTCCAATACAGCTTCTTGACTTTGTTCAAAATTATCTGTACCTCCAATAATAATATTGACAATAGCAAAATTTAATCGCGCTATGTCACCTAATTCTCGAAGACGTGTAGTATAAGGCGTTCGAAGCGCATCAGCAAAATATTCTTGTGGTATAGAATAAACATACGATGAATATTGGGAGGCAATACTTTCTTTGATTCTTGTATAAAACTTAATTTCGTCATCTTCCAGAGATTTCTTTTTTACTTGACGATCTAATTCTTTGGCTCGATCTAGCAGAGAAGAATTTTCCGAAAAAACTTCTGAAAAACATTTGATTGCTAGTTCATTCATAGTCGAAAATAGTGGCTGACGTAGAGAAGAAAAATCTTTCGTTTTATGCATCAATGCTGGTTTATTGAGTAAGGCTTCGCCTATTAAATTCAATAGATAAGCGATACCATCTGGTCGAAATTCATGCTTCAAAAGCTTCTGTATGATTTCTTGTGGATTTAAGTCTATACGTATTGTTTTACCATCTTGCTCAATTCGAACTAAACTACAGTCAGGAAGATAATCAGTAGCTAATTCGTCTAAAAAAGCACCATACGATTGCGCTTTATAATGTTTAAGAGCCAGACTTAATTTGTTATTCAGTTTTTCTCGCGTGGTTGGTTCCTGTAAGAGAGCGCTGCCTGTACTAAATATATTTCGTCCCAAAATCAAACTGCCAATTACTAATCCTACACCTGTACCTATCGCAAGAATAACACCTGGAGGACCTAATACAGATCCAGCAACTATTGCAGTGATGGTATTATTAAACCCAGCTAACACCATTCCTCCGGCCGTTACAACACTGCCGGCTTGCAATGCTACACCTGCCGTTCTGTGCAGACCAGCTTTACGTTTTGCTGTTAGTATTAACTCCTCGGATGTTTTAACTTGTTTTTCTCGACATGTCACTAAACATTGTTGAAGTACAACATCTCGAAGCTCATTTTTTATATAGGCTTGCACTTGAAGTGCAGAGAATCTTCCAACATTGACACTCACAAGTTCACGTGAGTTTGACGATTGTGACGCAGGAGGAATGACCGTCGTCAAATCTTTTGACGCTGTCCGACTTGAAAACTTTGGACTGCGGATTTTTTCTAATAATCGCTGCAATTCATTGAGTTTTTCGGCTTCAGCGCGTCCAGTGTTTTGCACTAAAATATGCATCGCTGCTATCGTATAGATTTGAGCTTGTAATAGTTGTTCTCCTGTATAAAGAGATATAGCCATCATGCGTCTCATCTCACAACGTTCTTCGACTGTCCCACCATTACCTAAAGTAATAGCTGCCGCTCGATATTGTTCATATGCAAGTAAAGCATGAGATATCTGATGCTGCTGCAAATCTTGATCTGTATGACTTTTCAAACCATCTCCACGTAAGTGAACTAACGTGTTCCATGATCCATTTCTCGCTCGACTATAATCTCTCGCAACTGTCCACAATCTTTTTCCTTCAACCTGATGACGAGTCACAAGTTCGTAATCGCTTATACTACCATTTTGTGTTAATTCATCTAACAATTTTTGTTTACAAAGAGCAATACAATCGAACGCTTCACGAAAATCAATTTTATCACCTTCTTCAGCTTTATCTGGATGAAATACGAGAGATAATTTTCTCGCATGAGAATTGATACGCTCTTGTGTAACGGGAACATTAGAAAAGAGAATTTTCATGATATTACTTCTTTGTGATAAAACAAAATGGCAGAGAGTTCGACGATATTCAACAAGACATTTATCAACAGCGATACAAAAAGCTCCCGCAAGACAAGCAATTTTTGAGTTCGTATTGTTACTTACGTGGTCCGATGTTATTGTTTGCTGATAAACTGTAGATGTCGTTGTTGTTATTTGGTTTTTAAGTTCAATTAAAATTAGGCGCATATGCGATGCTGCAGCGTCGACAACGTTATAATCTTCATATGATTGGATTTTATCAACAATAAATTTATCAGTTAAAGCTTCTATATTAGTCATAACTGATTCCATATTGGGATAAAGTAAACACACTTGTTTTAATTTTGTAGAGCATTCCCGAACTGCGATTGTAGCATAGGAAAGAGCTGAATGTTGTGAATGGATTGAATCACCGAAAATTTCCGATTCTATAGGTTGAACTGTAACACTGTCGGTCGTTAGTGACTGTTGTACAGCCTGTAGCTTAGATTTATATCGTATAGAAAGATTTTCTTCCCTTTTCGACTCTGCTTGTTTTCCTATTGATAATAAATATTTAGACTTTTTTAAATGATACTGATATTTTGCTTGATTAAATTGTGCTTCGTCTTCACCTTCGAGATTATCTTGAATAAACTGTAGCACGTTCTTAAAGATTTTCTCGATGTTCTCTGTTGAAGATACTGTAACAATTGCATAATCAGTTTGTTGAAACAAATTAATAAGTTCCGAATTCATATTTGATTGATGCAAAGTGAATGTTAATCTAGAACAGAATTGAATTATCTATGCGAAGACTAAAGTAATATGCCTCAGAAAATTAGAAGAGGTTTAAGTATGTATATGGCACAGACACGTAGGGAGAGGATGTGGATGTGTGAGTGCGGGACTGGCTGTAGGTGAGAAAAAGGCCCACATCCACCCTCTGACTTAATACCCAATCAGGTTCAATACTATTAAGAACGGGGAGACCACTTTTATTGAGAGCCCAGGTAAACAGAGAACAGTATCTAGTTAATTCCCGGTTAAGCTCAATACTAGATGGAACCGAGAGACAAGTTTCGCGGAGAACTCAGCCCTAAAGACTTGAGCAGTTGACAGAAAACGTAGTTAGGATTAGAATCAGCTAGAACATGGACACTAATTTATTTATGCATCTAGTTGCACCGCGAATAGACTTCGACTGAATATCCAAGCAGACGAAGTATTAGTTTAGCTGAGAGTGGTGCGTTATATTGCACGGCCGAAACAGAGCCGGAGTAATAATCAGTTGTGATTCTATATGATATCTTTTGGGTTGTTTGTATTGGCTCTGTCTACTATTTTGTAGGATAGTATGATGAGGTAAGATATTTAAAAACCGTGATTCGCTTTTAAGAGTGTTAAAATATATTAGATATTGTCACTAGGTAAACCTGATGATTTAGAAAAATTCTAATAACTATTCATATAATTATAGTACTTCTAAATAGAGCAACAATTTCTAATATAAATGATATGGTGTGATTGGTATAAATTAAATACAAAGAGTATTGAAGTAATTACCGTGAAATAATGTCGAAACACGCTAGAAATCGAACAGTAATAATCGAATATATGTGTTGTGAATATAAACGAAAATAAATAACCAAACGAATATGTAAAGAGTATATGCTTTAATATTTTTTGTATATACGATTTATTCATGCATAAAATATTTTTTTCATTTTTTTCTTTTATGTCATGAAAACAACAAGCAAGCAATAATGTATACTTCTGTCTTTCTTTCGTGTATGTAGCGCATATTGCTTATATTCAGTGTAGGTATAGGAAATCGAAATGTGAGTAATTGATCGGTTCTCTTACATGAATGAAATAGACAAAGATAATATAATGCGTAAGCTTGTAATTAGACGATGTTTGTTTTTCATTTTTTGAGCAACTATCGTATGTTAAGATTATAAAAATCCTCAAATGATTATTTTCTGATAGATAAAAGCGAACATTTTGTAACTATTTTAATATAATTAGAAAGCAGCATTAGTCTCATATAACAGAGTGAGTGTGAGATGTGGGGTATGCGTGTGGGTACTAGGTAATATATTTCACTCACACGCACACTCACCCACTCCCATCAGATTCATCTATTATATAAATATTGTTAACATCAATATCATCATCATCATCATATGTGGATGTTTTTTAATGATCAATATTTTTATTATTACAATTCATATTGAAATCTTTTTTTTTAATATTGTCTTTAGTAACAGATGATCTTTCATTATCGAAAAAGATTTTGAAACAAATGAATTATTTTCAATTGGTTCAAAAAGATAATAAAATGGATTTATTTCTTTTTTATTAAATAAATACCTAATTAAGTTATCAATATCATATCCCTTATTATATAAACATATTGTTAGCCATTCATTAGTAATAAATTGACTATAATTTATTTCAAAATCTACTATATATTCTAATACTTGAAAATATCTACTATTATATTTACTCTTATTTGTAACCATAAATATAGAATTTTTTCCTTCTTTGAGAAATGTGAAATCATTTGTATTTAACACGGTAGCAGGTTTACTATAATTAATAAAAAAAAGTTATATATTATAACTTCATGTTTAAGTGTTTTTATTGATGATAGATTATGATATGACATTTTATATATTTAAAATTATTATGTTTTATTGTTGAATAAATTGCTTATATAATTAACAAAAAATAATATAAGTATGATTATTCTTCACATGTAAAAAATTCATCATCATCAGATTCATTATTCTCTATTATTGTAGGATGTATTATATTATATTTATAAGAGTGCATAATAGGGTGGGTGTGGTTTAATAAAAAGACGAAGTATATACGCCCACATACAAAAGAAGAAGAAGTTACATATGTTGTGATACATATGACCGCTGTTTGTTCTCGCTGTCGAGTGTTGATTGATCATTGTCTGAATGTTCTATCAAGTAGATGTGCACACGTTCGAAGGGAATCATTGTTCATTGTATTGATTGTATTATAAATAGCGATATCCACTTTGTTCTATTTCATATCATTCGTTTTCTATTTTGTCTACATTGATAATTGTTATTTATCTTACTATTCACTTGATAGCACCAGCAAAGCGTAAAGGATCGACGTTACCTACTGTAGACGAACAGAAACCAGCAGGACAAGCTTTTTTAGATCATTTATCTA